AATTTGTGGTGGTCTGTAGAAGAGCACTGTTTGAAAAAGGGGAATGTTAAAAATCCAATGGTTTATTTTGCCAGAGAAGTTTCTTGCTCAAGGGGAAACATGGAAACTGCTGTGAAATCTAAAGGACTCAAGTGTGACTTTGGAAGAGTACGGTCACATGGTTTTCATCATCATCATTCCAAGATGAAAAAAACCAACCCCCCCCCTAAAAAAAAAGTACACATATAGACTGGGTGAAACCAGGCTTAATAGCAGTGACTGTGAGAGGGATCTTGGAGTCTTAGTGGACAACCAGCTAAATATGAGCTAGCAGTGTGCGGCAGCCAAAAAAGCCAATGCAATCCTAAATTGCATTAACACAGGGATACAATCAAGATCAAGCGAGGTACTAATACCACTCTATAAAGCCTTACTAAGACCACTCCTAAAATATTGCGTCCAGTTTTGGTCACCACACTATAAAAAAGATGTTGAGTCTCTAGAAAAAGTGCAGAGAAGAGCAACCAGGATGATTAGGAGACTGGAGACTAAAACATATGAAGAACGATTACAGGAACTGGGCATGGCTAGTCTAGTGAAGAGAAGGACCAGGGGAGACATGATAGCTGTCTTCCAATATTTGAGGGGCTGCCACAAAAAGGAGGGGGTCAAGCTATTTTCCAAGGCACCTGAAGGCCAGACAAGGAATAATGGATGGAAACTGATCAAGGAGAGATTCAACCTAGAAATAAGGAAAAATTTTCTGACAGTGAGAACAATCAACCAATGCAACAGCTTGCCTTTCGAAGTTGTGGACGCTTCATCACTGGAAATTTTCAAGAAGAGACTGGACTGTCATTTGTCAGAAATGGTGTAGTATCTCCTGCTTGAGTGGAGGGTTGGACTAGATGACCTACAAGGTCCCTTCCAACTCTGTTAATCTGTTTAAATCTTTTTAAAATTCCAAATGCACTCAGTAGGATTTGCCTCACTTGTGCTGCTTTTATTTTTGCCAGGCTTTTTGAGCTATACTAATAAACAAATTAACTGTGGTTTGAAGGATTTTTAAAATTATTTTATTTTATTTTAAATTATTGGACACCTTGAGTATTCTGAGGACAAAGCGGCAGAATATGTATTGAAACAATAAATAATTTTATCTCCGACTTAATATCTTTCTAGGAAGATGATGATTCTGTGTCATCCAGGTAGAGTTATCTGGAAGTTGAGATATGGCAACTGAATTTCTTTTCTTTTCTTTGGTTTGAAAAGCTTTGCTGTTTTTCAATCACTCCATGCAACCCAAGGTGTTTTATTTGGCAAAAGACAAGTGTCAAATACCCCAGAGCCCTACTTTCATTTCCCTTCCATAAAATTAAAAGGAGGGGAAAAATAGAAATGTGATTATTGTGTTTTCTTTTCTAGTTATGAGACCATTTGGAGAAATGTCACGTTATGTCTGTGGCCCCCAAATCATAGGCTTGTTCTGAATTTATAGTATTTCTAAATAATGACAATTTGTAGAGTTGACTGAAAGTTGAGACATGACAATTGGAGAGAGTCTCTCTCTCTCTCTCTCTCTCTCTCTCTCTCTCTCTCTCTCTCTCTCTCTCTCTCTCTCCCTCCCTCTCTCCCTCCCTCTCCCTCCCCCCCTCTCTCTTTGGGGTGGGTTTGAAATGTTTTGCTGCTTTTCTATCACTCCATGTAACTCCAGGATGTTCTAAGTGGCAAAAGGCAATAACCAACAACACTGAAGAAGCTACTTGGATAAGCAGCGAAATATTTCAAACCAAAAAAGAAAAGAAGTGCAGTTGCCATGACTTCCATACATCTTTCTGTGAAGTATTTAAGAAGAAATGTAACAGTTAAATCTGAGGATAAATATTATTTCGTACAGAAGGTACGAATGCATGATGCATGAGGTCCTGATTAACCAATACTGTTAATTCTCTTCTACTGTAGCAACTATAACTGGGATTGGCTACTCGGTTGTTAAATGAAACCGTCTCTAAGTGAAACTGTGACTGTGCTAAAGAACTGACTTCAACATTCCTTTGCTTTGCAGCCCTGGACAGGTTGTAAATGCGAGGATTGGTTGTAAAGTGACTTTTTCATGGCTGTGTAATTGCAAAGGGTTGCTAATCAAAGGCAGTCATGAAATGAGGACTTTCTGTCAGGCGCTTCATGTTTTAAAGAAATGTGTGTGGCAGGAGGGCATCTAGTTTTGAAAATGCTGGTTTTTTTGTTCGTTTATATAATGTCAGAATGGTCATTCAACTTTTTCACCACCCATCAATTAATGAATATATGCCTAATGATTAGGCATGTACATATACCTGAATAATTTCAAATCACGGAGAGTCCATCCTTTTTTCTACTCCTGAATGTGCATCTTGGAAGCATTGCAAAAAAGTACAGTTTTCTTTCTCTAACGTCAGAAAATAATGACCCTAAAGCTTTTGTAGAGGCTAAGAATTAAGTACCTAAACCTGGAGTGCCGATATCCTAAGCTTTGAATGGAAGATTCTTGCAAAGTTTATGACCTCTTAGAGAGTATCAGACTTAGAGATAGAAGCTTGGCGTGAGCAGATTACAGTTTGACCCGAATGAGACGGGGCTAAAATGAATTTGGTTCCAGTGGTTGCACTAATGGGAAAATTAACTCACTTTTCTAATTATCTCTATGCCTTTGACCCCCTCAATTTTCAGTTTATTCTTTTTATTTAAAGGGATAAATAACTCAGTTCTTCAGTCAACCTTTGAATTAATGACACAGTGGAATTTGGGAGTTCATGGGTGCATGGGAGGGCTCTTGAAAGCAGGGAAAAGCCAGGTTTTACAAATTAACTGTGTTCAGAGAGCAAAAAAAATTTTCAGGGGGAAAAAAAAACAATATTTAGGTAGCAAAATATATTCTTGGTTGAAGAATATATTACAGTATCTCAGTTAAGCATTTTTCCTTGGTATTTTATTTAATTCAAAGTGAAATAGAAATGAAACACACACACACACACACAAACACATACAGTCTGAACCCATAATTGAATAATTTTGAGTCTCAGACAAGAAACACACATCTGGTCTGTTCCAGGATCCCAGAAAGGAAGGGGATGAAGAGGCGTAATACAAAGATGCTGGTAAAAGTAAAATTTCTCAGGAGAGTTTTCAAATGAAACCAAATCAACCATTTATTTATCTTAAAGGTTGACTAGCTCTGTTATTCCTATGGTCTCAGGGGTGGGTTCCTGGGGGTTTGGCAGGATTCAGGAGATCCTCTAGCCAAGGATCGCCGGGGTTTGGCGAATCCCCAAATGCTACCCCTGGCTGGCCATGCCCACCCCTCTCCTCCCCTCCCAGGAGTCTCCACGCGGCTCGTTCATCATTCCAGGTAAGTGCAGGGGAATGCGGAGGGTCTGGGAGGGTCTGGGCCTACTGGAGGTTCCAGAAGCCCAGAAATGGGCCCATTTCTGGCCTCTAGAGGGCCTCTGGAGCCCGGGGGGAACAGTTTTTGCCCTCCTGGAGGCTCAAAGAAAGCCTCCAGAGCCTGGGGAGGGCGAAAATAGTTTCCCCCAGCCGTGCAGGTGCAGACTAGACCACGCCCACCATGGCCACGCCCACCTAGCAATAGGGCAGTGAACCCATTGCTAAAGGATCTGAAGCCCACTCCTGTATAGTCTCATGTAGGTAACAGGACCTTAGTCATCTTGTCTAGACTTGGAAACTCACCCGGCCAGGCCTGGTCAGTTTAAGAATGAATACTAGAGGTTGGTTAGACTGGAACTTGAAGGAACGTTCCAGAAGAAGTCAGAAGATACCACTTCTATGCTTTTGTCAAGAAAACTCAGTAGTTATGATCATGTAGTCACTAGGTGTCACCTTTCCTTCAGAATAGTCTTTATATCATTAAGAACAAGATTAATCTTTTTGTTAATGAGTAGCCAGTGGTTAAGGAACCAGGCCAGAAAGCTAGAAACTGTGAATTCAAGCTCCGCTTTAGCCACCAAAGGCAGCTGAGCCAGTCACTCTCTCTCTCAGTCCAATTGACCTCATAGACCTGCTGTTGTAGGGAAAACAGGAGGAGGAATGTGTGTTGAATATGTCTGTCACCTTGAGTTATTTGTAAAAATAATAAAGGCAAGGTCTAGGTAGGTAGGTAGGTAGGTAGGTAGGTAGGTAGATAGGTAGGTAGGTAGATAGATAGATAGATAGATAGATAGATAGAGATGAAGGTAGGTAGGTAGATAGATAGATGATAGATAGATAGATAGATAGATAGATAGATAGATAGATAGATAGATGTAGATATGTTGGTTGCTTGGTAAACAGACAGACAGACAGACAGACAGACAGACAGACAGACAGACAGCTAAGATTTTGTAATTGTAATTCTTCTCCAATTAGAAGAATGTTCTGCTTAAGAATCTCTCTCTTCCCTTCATTTTCCCTTTCTACAACAGTAAAACTGCATTGAAGATACTGAGATGTGAAGCATCGGAGCAATATGGTTGCTTAGGAAACATTTTTATAACAGCATTTATCACACTTTCAAACACATTTCTATAAAAATGGAAATAAGTGGGTGACAAAAAAGAAACAAAACACATCGCCTTGATACTGAGTGAAATCGATCAAAACAGAGGTTAGAAAACATGCAAGAAGCTTTACAGAGTGTGTTTCCAAAGTGTGTTAGTTCTCATGGACAAAATTCAGTCGGGATGCAACACACCAAAAGTCGGTCCCAAGGAAAGAAAAATAAAACACCCTCCTTTAAAAAAACAAAAAAACAACCCAAAAACACTGTTATTTAAAGAACTTAACAACATTCTTTCTTTAAAAAAAATAAAATATGTAACAACAAGCAAGAAGACAAAACACATCAAAAAATGGGGATTTTTTTTTTAAAAAAAACACATCTTCAAAAGAAGACAAGAAGAAGAAGAAAAAAAAAAAGAAGGGAGAAAAAAGTTTTCCAAAGGGGGATTCTTGTCATGCAAATCAGTTTGGCAGGGGAAAAAAAATACCTTCGTCTTCTGCACCTTCATTAGCACCTAAATCATCTGTCTGTTTCTTTGTTAGGGGACCTAGGATTGAGAATGGAGAGAATGGAGGAAAAAGACAATTCAAGAATATACAAGATTGAAGAAGAAGAAAAAAAAAATCAATATTAAACTTCCAAAGCTGTTTCCAGAAAAAATCTCCAGGAGGGAGATAAGTAATTATTATCTTACTATCTTCAAAATGTGTTTTCCGGTGAAATATCTCTCAATGGGTATACTGAGATGCTTTTTAATCAACTTCTATCTAAAAAGCAAATATGCAGTCCAGAAATTATATTAAACCTGAACATGAATATTTTTAATTGGAAAAAAAAAATAAAAGACCCGTTATATACAAAATAACAGCCAAGGAATGTTTTCATCTGCTGAATTGACAAATTTATTTATGAGCACTGAAACATATAAATTTCAGGGAACAACCGTTTAGCTTTTGGTCTGTATTACAGAGATTCCAAATTGAAAAAGGAAATTAAAGGTTGTTTTTTTTAAAGGAATTTGTTTTAAAAGAAACATTCTAACACATGCAAATTGAATTTCATAAATCCAGCCACAGTAATTAACAATTTCCAATGCTAAGTAAGGACTTGATTTTCCCCCCCATCCCGGTGTATATAATTTAAATGCAGTTCTGAACATAAAAATCCCTTTGAACTTTAGAATACCTGCTGACATTCTTGTTAAAAACGAGAGATACCAAAATAGGGATTAAAAACCAAACACTGAAAGGGTTTCTTTCAAAAATTTCATTACCGTCTTAGCAGGTCAAGGCATTGCAAACTGATTCATAAGAATAAAAGAATTAAGACTTAAAAACATTCAGTGTCAGAAGACAAACATACCATTAACCAGTGCAAGATTAATCACATTTTGCAAATGAAAATGACTACTGTTTTCCTCAAGCATTCTGTGTTCTGTGGTTTTGTTTTTCTTTTTTCCTAATTGCTCCAGAAGGAAACTCAGAAGACACCATTTGGATATACCACAGCTTTTTATAACTTGAAAGCACACCCCAAAAACAACTAAAATTCAGCACCACGTTACTTTTTACTCTTTCTTCGCGCTAACATAGTTCTGTCACTTGCATGCGTCACAGGAGGACATTTCTCCCTGCTGATATACAGTAGAATCATAGAACATTCAGTTTTTTAAAAAAGCAGCCAAGCACCAAGTTAAAAAGAAAAGCATACAAATCTCATGCATAAAATGACAATTGAAAGAAACTAAGGACAAAAGAAAAATCAGAAGGGAGCGATAAAGAGTCACCAGAACATGGATAGGCAAGAGGCGCACAGCAGTCCAAAGAAACCATTAAAAGATTTATGCATCAAATATTCTGTTTTCATCATTTTTTTTTCACATGACTGTAAAATAGTAAGCGATTGGAAATTGGCAGTGTTAAAAAAAAACATGGAAGATTAGGAAGTACTGTAAGTGAAAGAGAGGACTGAGAAATACAACCAAACGCACTCGTAAGATTTCCACCCCAAAAAATGTTTGTTGCCTGAGGCAAAAAGTAACATCTATTTCCATGTTCATTTCAGATGCAGACCCAGCTTCACAATTCAGTGTTGCTGGGGAGAGAAATAGGGGCCATATTGAATTCCAAAAATCTTCACCCGATTCCCATAACCTTGCAATAAATCATGCTGTTAAGAGATGGAGATAGTGATCATCAAATGCAGACTACACACCCAGAAGAATATCTACAATAGTTAAAGATGGTGTCCTTCCTTGCCTCACTTTTTGAGTTATGGCTTACTCAAATCCATACACCACTCCTCTGCTTACAAGAGAATACCTTATGCCACCAGGCTTGAAATTCTGGGCTTGGACAACCTAGAACTACATTGCCTTTGGTCTGACCTAAGTGTAGTACACAAAATTATCTGCTACAATGTCCTACCTGTCAATGACTACTTCAGCTTCAACCGCAATAATACATGAGCAAATAATAGATACAAACTCAAGGTAAACCACTCCAAACTGGATTGCAGAAAATATGACGTCAGCAACAGAGTAGTCAATGCCTGGAATGCACTACCTGACTCTGTTGTAACATCCTCAAACTCCCATAACTTTAACCTTAAACTGTCTACTGTAGACCTCACACCATTTCTAAGAGGTCTGTAACTGTCTACTGTGGACTTTAACCCATTCCCAAGAGGTCTATAAGGGGCGTGCATAAGCGCACCAGCGTGCCTACTGTCTCTGTCCCACTGTCCCCATTTATTCGCACCCATTTCCTGTGTTCATATCCATGTTTGTTTATTTATTCGTACTCATTGGCATCGAAAACTAAAATTCTTTGCACACTTTAAACATTATCACATTAACTATAAACAAATGGACAATGCTGTAGGACAATGTCCAGGCTTTCATTGTGTCAAAAAAACCTCCCAATAACTACTACTACCACTACAACTGGAATGTAGAAGTGCAAAACCAAACATAGAAGTGCATTTTTAAATGACAACTGCTGTTCTGACCCCCACACACCAGTGGAGGCACCAGATAAATCATGGCATAAGGGAAGTATTGAGTTTTATAGTATTTGAACTATATCTAAAAAATGTGATTCTCCTTTTAAATGGAAACTAATGCAGCAATTTTTGACTGGTGCATAACCGACAAGAACCCAGGAAATGAATTTCCCCCTTTTATTGCATTGTCATGTTAAGAAAGGCTGTACTTGTTGAATTCATATCTACTTCACAGCCATTAAAGGCATCAAACGGCATTCTGAAAAGGCAGATTGAAGCTGCTCACCGTCAACTATTATATCCATTTCCCTTATTTCTGTGTCATTCAGCCCAACTCATCTCAAACTAATAATTAAACAAGTAAAGAAACATTCCATCTTGAAGGGTGGGTAAAATGGCATTTTGTGCATCTCTATTGGTGATATTTTAGTTGAAAATGGCAGAAAATATTTTTAGATCAATACATGTGTCTCAGTGTATTGTCTAAAACTGGACTGATGGTTAGGTGATTAGTTGATTAGCATTTACTCCTCTTGGAAAAAGCAGGATAGTGCAAGACAGAATAACATCTCTCTTGCTTCATTTTTGGTTTTTAACCTCCAAACATGTAAAGATTGGAAAGAGGAAGAAGAGAAAAAGAGAAGGATTTATTTTCCGTCCATCCTATGGTTCCAACATTGCTGTGGACACCATTCAGTTTGTTGTTGATGTTTGTCCCATCAAAATTGGAGCAAAATACAATTGCTTATTTAATGGTTTAAAGGTAAAGGTTACCCTGGCACATATGTATTAGTCGTTCCTGACTCTAGGGGGTAGTGTTCATCTCTGTTTCAAAGCCAAAGAGGCAGCACTCTCTGAAGACGGTTATGTGGCCGGCATGACTATACACCAAAGGTGCACGGAACGCTGTTACCTTCCCACCAAAGGTGGTTCCTATTTTGCTACTTGCATTTTTTATGTGCTTTCGAACTGCTAGGTTGGCAAAAGCTGGGACAAGTAACAGGAGCTCACCCCATTATGTGGCACTAGGGACTCGAACCGCTGAACTGCCGACCTTTCGATCAACAAGCTCAGCATCTTAGCCTCTGCATCCCTATTTAACCGTTTACCCTACTGTAAACCGTAAAGCTTAATCCAGCCAGTGAGGTTTGTCGAATCTGTATTCTCATTTAGCACAATATCAAGCTGTAATTAAACTCAGCCACCTCAAAAAAACACTATGTACACCGAGACACTGAATTATAACTACCTAACCCCAACAAATGTACTGTAACTAGTATTATGACTTGTAGTGGTGTTTTCGTTGTAAATAATATCTCATAGTCTGCTTAGCAAATGAACTAAACCATTTGTAAAAGGAAGTCCCTTGATTGCTATGACGTTGATCAAGCTGAAAAACCATCTTGCATCTGACTCCTGCCACAACTATCTCATGATACTTATTAGTACTAATGGGGAAATGGACCACAGGTCAGTGACCCAGGAGTGCAATGCAAGGAGCAAAAGGAATTATGGCACCTCCTAATAACAATTAATGGCTGGGGTGCAGAAACAAGAAAACTGCTGTATGTGAAATAGGGGAAGCTCCTTATGAACTCTTATATTCATTTCATTTAAATTTGCTCCTTGGTCTCATTTTCTACTAAAAATATAACTCAGCCTTTCACCCTGCTCCTCAGAGACCCACCAGGTTTAAAGTAGCCAGCTTTAAAGAGGAAAATATATCGCATTATATCTTTTCCGAATGAGAGAGTGTGCCTGCAGGAAGACATGTGAATGTCTGTAAGGCATGTGTTCGAGGCACTGACATACCAATATTATTGGTGCTTAATTATTATGGAGCATGTAATTCTTCTCCAGTTAATGAGATACCAAAGAAGATAACATTTATGCGTTTAACGGGATTAAAGCATAACCATAGGGGGAAAAAGTTAAAAGACCATAAACCCTGATTGGTACACCAGATACATGCAGGGGCCAAAGCTGTTTTAATCATTCTGCTTAAACTTCCAGCAGTTCCTGTGTCTGATATAAAAATGAAGTTAAAATTTACAGTTAAAATTTAAATCTGATCCACACTTAACTGGAAACCAAGAAAGTCAGGTCATTTCTGCATCCAAAGAATGCCATGAATAGTAACTAGAAGGGGTGGTGGGGAACAGTAGCCAAATGAAGAGAGAGAAGTAGTATTCCAGTGGTGCTAAATTAGAACAGTAAAGCAGTGAACAACGAGGGTGTTTCAAGCAATCTTTCATGGGCCAAATAAGCACAGGTAGTCCTTGACTTACAACAGTTCATTTAGTGACCGTTCGAAGATACAACATTGAAAAAAGTGACTTATGACCATTTTTCACACTTAACGACCATTGCAGCATGGTCGCATGATCAAAATACAGATGTTTGTATCTGTCTACAATATGACAATATGCCTCATATTGATGATGGTAGCAGTGTCCCAGGGTCATGTGATCCCCTTTTGTGACCATGTGACAAGCAAAGTCAAGGGGGAAGGCAGGTTCATTTAACAAATGTGTTACTAACTGC